TCCTGCTCCTGCTCCTCCTCCTCCTCCTCCTCCCCCTCCTCCTCCTCCTCCTCTTGCTCCTCCTCCTCCGCCTCCTCCTCCTCATCCTCCTCCTCCCCGTCCTCGTCCTCGTCCTCCTCTTCCTCCTCCCTAGTTTCATCCGCCTTCTCCTCCTCCGCCTCCTCCGCCTCCTTCCGTCCCTCCTTCTCCTCCTTCTCCTCCACCACCTGCTCCTCCTCCTCATTCTACTACTCATCCTCATTCATCCTCATTCCCCTCCTCCTCCTGCTCCGTCTCCTCTTATTCCTCCTCCTCCTCCTCCTCCTCGTCCTCCTCCTCCTCCTCATCATCATCAGTATCATCAGCTTCATCATCATCATCATCACATCATCATCATCATCATCATCATCATCATCATCATCATCATCATCATCATCATCATCATCAGCATCATCATCATCATCAGCAGCAGCAGCATCATCATCATCCTCATCCTTATCCTCATCCTTATCCTCATCCCGCCTGCTCCGCATCATCAGCTTCCTCATCAACACCCCCCCCTACTCCTCATCCCGCTTACCCCTCATCCCTTCTCCTCCATGCTCCCTTCTGCTTCTCGTGCCCCCTCCTGCTATTCCTCCTCCTCCTCATCCTCCTTCTCATCATCCTCATCCTCATCTTCCTCCTCCTCATTTTCCTCATCATCATCATCATCCTCCTCCTCCTCCTCCTCCTTCATCTCGTCCTCTTTCTCGTCCTTGTCATCCCGAAGATTCGGGAAGCGGAGCGGACATGGTTCTGCGAGCAACCGGCCCTCCTCAACGACGAAGGCCTTGTCCCGCCAGCGGAAGTGCTGCACTTGCACAGCGCGTGGCCGGAGGCTCTGCGGTGGGCCCTCTGGGGCAAGACCATGTGGCGCTTCCACAGGGCGTGGTGCGCGGCCCGGATTGCGGCCGAGGCGCCTGCCGGCTTCTGGGGGATCCCTGCGGGTCGCTTGCCGTAGGCGTGCCCATCATTGCGCGGCGGGCAGGCAGGGCTGCAGCACCTGCTGGTGGAGTGCCCATCTACCGAGGCCTGGCGGCCCACGGCCCCTCGTGCCTGGAGCCCGTCGCCCGCCTCGGCGGGGTGGGCGCTCACGGATACGGCGGATGCCTCGGAGCTCGCGGGCAAGGCCCAGTGCGTGGGTCTGGCGTGTGCGGCCTTCGTCCACGCCTGCGGGGCGCCTGTGTAAAAGGAACCGCGGGGGCCGCGCGCCGTCCACCCTCCCCCCACCCCTTCCCGCCCTCGTCCCGGTCCCCCCCCCCTCCTCCCTCGCCCCCCTCCCTTCCCTTCCCCCCACAGCCATCTTCCCGATGGTTTTTGCTCAGGTTCTGGAGGAGCTGGGCCCGACTGGATGCTCCCATATGTGGGGTGTGGTCTTTGGACGTGCCGACCATCCGCTTTTGTGGGGCGTGCTGGCTCATCCCCTATCGTACGGCTCTGCTAAGCCGTGCCGGCGTACCCGCGCCAATGGGCATGCCGGTCCCTCCGCTATCGAACGGTTGATCGGCAGTACGGCGGCAAGAGGCGGCCTGTCAGCGAGTGACAGACTACATGGCCTGTCCAGCGCATCCGCGGGTGAGGGCTATCCGGCCCACCCGGCGGCATGCCGCCTCCGGGCGGTTTGTCATAGGGTAATGGGCAGATAGGCTGCACTGGGAAGAACCCTGGGGGTGCACGGTTGAGTGCGCGAAAGGCGAGTGGCGCGCTGCGTGCACCAGGGAGGGCCCCAAGGTCTTGGGGAAGTGCCCCGTGGGCTGGAGGACGTGCCGCCCATCCGCTCTTTTGGGCGCGCCGGCCCATCCGCTATCGTACGGCTCTGTTGAGCCGTACCGGCTTATCCGTGGTTTTGGGAGTGCCGGCGCCACCGCCATCGAACGGCTAAGAGGGACAGCCCACACGGCGCATCGGGCATCCGGCCCATCTGTCAGCATGCCGCCTCTGGGAGAATTTATCGGGACTATCGGCAGGTGGTAGCGCTGGGAATTGGGGGGGGGGACGGCAGAGTGCGCGAGAGAGAAGAGTCGCGCGTTGCGTGCACCAGGGATGGCCCCAAGCGGCTGCCCCCCTGGGGCGCCCCTTCGGGGTGCCGCCCGCCACCCCGTTGCGCTGGCCCGGAGGCCCTGCGTGGATGTTGGCGCTCGCACCTGGGTGGACCCGCCCCAAAGGGCGCCCCGAGGGGCACCCTCGCTTCACGCAGTCCAATTCACGCAGTCCCTCCTCCCTCCTCCCTCCTCCCTCCTCCCCCTCCCTCTACTTCTCCTCCCTCCTCCCTCCTCCCTCATTCCTCCTCTCCCCTCCCGCCCTCCTTCCCTCCTCCTCCTCCACCTCCTCCTCCTCCTTCTCCTCCTCCTCAGCCGTTTTTTCTCCCGAGCGGCGCTCAGGGAGTTGGCGCTCCGCAGTTGAAAGCGGCGCAGGAACACCGAGCCGATGGCATGGCGCGACGCCGCAGCAGCGGCGGCGGCGGCGCCCTGGCGGCCGGCCGGCGAGGCTCCTCCTCCCGCGGGCGAGGCAGCGGTCGCGCTGCAGGCGGCGGTCGGGGCCGCGGTGGGGACCTCGGCGGCGGCCTCCGCGCGCGCGGCCCTGGGAACATGACAGGTCAAGTGGCCCACGAGGAGGCCTGCACGGGTGGTGGCGCCGCCCAGGGCGATGCCCACGGCGCGGCCGGCCTCGGCGCCGCTCCCGGCGATCGCGGGTGCGCCCATGGAGCCGCCGCCGGGAGACTGGGCGGCCACGCCTGCGCAGCCGAGGAGGGGGGCGGGCCGCAGCCGTGCTCCTGGCGTGAAGCGGGAGGCCGTGCAGAACGCCCCGAAGAGCGAGGTGCGGCTGGACTTCGAGCGGGCGCTCGAGGCCTGCAAGCAGGAGCAGGAGAGCCGCGGGTTCAAGCCGAAGATGTCGGAGCAGGACTCGGTGGTCGCTCATGGGGGCAAGAAGGACAAAAAGGGCAAGAAGGACAAGAAGCACAAGCACCAGGGCAAGGTCAGGAGGCGCAGCCGCAATTGATCAGCGCCATCGGCTTCATCACCGCGGCGGAGCTGTCCAACTTCCTGCTTGGAGGCGCCTGTGCTGGTGGTGCTGTTGAGGAGGCTGCCTCCCTCGGGCCGCAGTTCTTCGACATGGGCGAAGACGACGGCGACGACGCGGAGGAGCGCCATGTGCCTGATGGCTGGGCCAGCTGGCACGGTTATGGCGAGGAGGTCCCGCAGCGCGGTCTCAGGCGGTGCTGGAGGAGACGATGGTTGGCGACGGGAAGGACGAGAAGGTGCAGGCGATGCAGCACGTCGAGAGCAGCTCCGCATGCGAGGAGGCCGGGGCGGAGTTTGCCGTCATCACGCCGCTCCCGTCTTTTAACGAGGAGGAGGCCTTGGAGATCGAGAGGACCGTGGAGGTGATGCAGGTGAAGCATGGCGAGAGTATCGGCAAGGCTCAATTCGCGCAGGACGTGGCGGACGAGCCGATCGCGGCCGATCCGCAGTCGCAGCTCGAGGTCAGGAGGGCAGCAAGGATTCTCGTCCCCAAACGTTGCGTTTGACTTGCCGGTGCGACGCCGACGTGCTCACTCACGAGCTCGAGCAGGTGACGACGGTGGGCGTCGGGAGCGGCGAGAGGGTGCTGGGGGCGCAGCACGTCGCGGGCTGCTCCGTGGGCGAGGTGGCCGCGTCGGAGGTTGCCGTCCCACCTCTCCCGCCCTCCAGCGTGGAGGAGGACCATCGCGGAGACCGCGGCGGTGCCGCAGGTGGAACCGGATGAGAGCATGGGTGAGTCCCTCGTCGTGCGCTCCCTGGTGCCGCCTCCGGGGTCGGCCTCCCCTGCGCTCGGGGGGAGGCGAGAGCCCACGGGGCGCTTTTTGGCGCGTGGCCGGCGGTCCATGCAGGCGCCAGGGGGGGGCCGCCCTCCCTTCGCGGGATGCGAGGCGCCACGGACGCATGCACGTTTCCACCTTATCCACCGTCCTCCTGCTCCTCCTCCTCCTCCTCCTCCTCCTCCTTCTCCTCCTCCTCCTCCTCCTCATCCTCCTCCTCCTCCTCCTCCTCCTCCTCCTCCTCCTCCTCCCGCCCCCCGCCTCCCGCCTCCTGCCTCCTCCTCCCCATGCCTCCCTCCTCCTCCCAGGGGCAACGTTACGGGGGGTAAGCTGGGGGGGTGGGGGGGTGCGTCGATCCCCCATCGCCCATCGATCGCCGATAGGGGCCCGATTGACCACCGGGCCCAGGAACGCTAGGATTCGCTCTCATTGATGGGCCCATGGATCGCCGATCCATCGGCGATGCATCGCCGAGTTCCAGGTCGACGCTCCCCCAATTGATCCGGCCCCCCGCTGGCGCTCCCCCTCGGCCCAGGACGCGGGCCAGCGGCCGGCCCGCAAGGGCGGGGCCGCGCCGCCGCCCAGCGGAGGCTGGCGCTCTTGCTGCCTGCACCCAGAGCTCCGATGTCGTCGCCGTCGCCGTCGCCGTCGTCGTCCGCACCCGATGCGGGCGTGTTTGTCGACGCTGGCCTCAAAAGGGGCCCGCGAACGGGCCCCGGAGGTGGCCAGGAGCGGCTCCGGGTCGCGGGACTGCTCCCGGGGAAGGGGTCGGGAGGGCTGCCGGGTCGCGGGTCGAATGACCATGTCAAAGGACATACCGTGGAGGCCCATGCCAGGAAACACTCGGCTTGCCTCCAGGGTGCCCTGGGTTTCCTGGGCTTTGATGGTTTTGCTATGGCAATCGTGACGCTCCCACGCAGAACAAAAAACAGTGGACGTCCTGGGTTCTCAGGGTTGGGTTTCTTGTGGAAGGTTTCGTGTGGTCGAGCTCTTACTGTATAGGGCTGCGGATTGAAACATACGATCAACAACAAACACAAGAGCATACCGGACGATGTCTGCGCTTTTTCGATCTGCATTCGCGCGCTCTGGCTCCGGCCTCTTTCGCCGCCGCTTGCTTGCTGCCGAGCTCCCCGATGGAGCGTGGGGTCGGGCAGGCCGCCCTGGGGCAGCGGGGGAGTGGGCTGTCTCCCACGAGGCGTGGAGGGGACTGGATCGCGTCACAGGAGGCCCATGCCAGGAAGCACCCTGCTTGCCTCCAGGGTGCCCTGGGCTTCTTGCGTTTCGATGGTTTTGCGATGGGACAGCGTGACGCTCCCACGCCAGAATCTCGATTCCGTCTCCAGCGTCGACTGGCGTCGATTAGCGTCTCGTAGTCGATGGGAGAGCGCCGATGTGGCGTCGATTGGCGCCGACCAGCGTTGACTGGTGGACGATTTGGGCGTCGACTCGTGTCGATTAGCGTGGATGCCGAAATGCCAACAAAATGGTACGGGAGGCTCCCATGCGTTGCCACCGATGGGCGGGCTCGGTGCCCAGAGATCCGAGGTCTCGCGCTTGTTCCCGGACGGGGGCCCTTCCCCCCCGGCCCGCTTGCCGTCCCCGGGTCGTTTTCTGACGCTCCCTGGGCCCGGCGACGGCCCCGAGAAGCCGAAGAACCTCCGCCGCCTCGATGCCGTCCAAACGTTGGAGCTCCAAGGCGCTCGTGGGAGGGGGCGGGGGGGCAGAAGGGGCCAGAGCGGGCCGTCGGGCTGGAAAGCGCTCGAGGCACTGCGGAGGGCCGCCGCTACGGGGTCGCCGAATTTCTGGCTTCGCGGTACCATCGCCGCGCACCCGTTGGCCCGGTGCCACCGTGCAAGGGAGCAAGAGCTTATGATACTGGTACGTTCCAAGATGTCCAAGGTTCCCAGGGCTGCCAAGGTTGACGTCCTATCGTTTCACACGGGCTGCAGAGACGAGGGTCGTTGGATGATTACCTTGGAGCTCCTGGAAGATGTCTTGAGCCAATCGCATCATGATATCGTTCTTGTCCGAGCACGTCGCAATACAGGAAGGAAGAGGAGGAGGAGGAGGAGGAGGAGGAGGAGGAGGGGGAGGCTGAGGAGAGGAGGAGGGGGGAGGAGGAGGAGGATGAGGAGGAGGAGGAGGAGGAGGAGGATCCGGAGGAGGAAGGAGGAGGAGGAGAAAAAGAGGAAGGAGTTGGAGGAGGAGGAGGAGGAGGAGGAGGAGGAGGAGGGATGGTGATAGGGAGGAGGAGAAGGAGGAGAGGGAGTTGGAGGAGGCGGACCGTTTTGGCGGCCCCAGAAAGAATCCACAGCCCACCCCCCCGCCCGCCATCCCCTCCTGCCCTCCCCTTCCCCCCCCCCCGTACCCCTCGGCCCACCCACCCACCCGCCTCATCCCTAATGCTCCTGACCACGCTGCGCCCCCCCCTCCACGCAGGATGGAGGATAAGAAGACAAGCGCAACCGCTCGCAGGATCGGCCAACACGTGCACGACCACTTCTTCCTCCTTTTCCCCCCCCCCTTCTTTGCCCTCTTTCTCTTCCTGCCCACTCCTCCCTTTTCCCATACTCTCCGTCGCCCTCCCTATTTTTCATCCTCCCTCCTACTCCTACTCCCGTTCCTTCTCCTCCTTCCTCCTCCTCCTCCTCTTCCAACTCCCCCCTTCCCTCTTTCCCCTGCGTGACCTCCTGATTAATCCACATCCTCCACAACTTCTGATACAAGCCTACGGCGCGGCACGACGCCTCGCGCACCATGATGCCGGCACAGCTCTGCGCACAATCCCCCACTCCGTCGTCGTCGCGGCCGAGCTCGCCGCTACTGCCGTCGCTACCGCCGAGCTCGACGCCGCCGTCGCTGGTTTCGCCGCCGCCGTCGCAGTCTCCGTCGAGCTCGCCGCCGTCCTCGTCGAGCTCGCCGAGCACGTCGCCATACAGGAGGAGGAGGACGAGGAGGAGGAGGAGGAGGAGGAGGAGGAGCAGGAGGAGAAGGGGGAGGCTGAGGAGAGGAGGAGAAGGAGGAGCAGGAGGAGGAGGATCAGGAGGTGGATCAGGAGGAAGAGGAGGAGGAGGAGGAAAATAGGGAGGAGGAGGCAAGGAGGAGGAGGAGAAGGAGGAGGAGGAGGAGAAGGATAGGGAGGAGGAGGAGGAGAGGGAGGTGGAGGAGGAGCACCTGTGCAAACAAACAACGCAGCAATCATGTTTCATAAACAGTTTCTCCAAGGTCCTCTTTCGAAGGTTCATATAATAACTCCTTTCCCAAATTGCACTTGCTCTTGGGGGGTCTTTCTTTTGTTCTAAGGAACTGCCGTCGCTGCCTCGTCGCCGCCCGTCGTCTGGGCCTGGTTGCGGGTCTGGCAGCTATGTTGTCGCCGTCGCCGCCCCGACGTCGTCTCTTTTCCACCCGTCGTCTGGGCCTTACCGCTGGTCTGGCTGCTATGTTGTCGCCGTCGCCGCCCGTCGCCGCCTAAATTGCACGACGTACATTGCACCGCATATTTTTTCCTTACCTAAAAGAGAAAAGACTCTCCCCCCCGAATTGTCGGTTCCCCTCTTTGTATTGCAATTCACACATGAGAACATAATCCCTTGCAGAAAATGACGAAGTGCAAACGCGCGCGTCGTCGCGCCCGCATGCCGGTATCTCCATGTATCTCCCAAGGCCATCGGTTTCGGAAGGATTTCAAAATCGAGTGTCCAAAACACATATAAAACACAAATGGTTTCGCAGCACGGATTTTCAAAACAAACAAACAAACAAAAGGAACGCGCGCGTTCTTGCGAATGTTTGAAACAAGCAATGGTTTTTCAACATGTTCAGAAACATACTACCAAACGGGTTTCGCGCGCGCACGTCGAAATCGTTCGAACGCCCTTGCGCGCGTGCCGTCGCGAGAATTTTTTTTTACAAAAAACGAACCAAAATGCACACGCGCGCGTCGTTGCGCCCGCATGCCGAAGTCCTCAACAAGAACATTGGTTCCTAAACGATTTCAAAACTAAATGCCCAAAACACTTTCAAAAACACATGGGTTCGCAACATCAGCTTTCAAAAGAAGCTTGCGCGCGCGCTCTTGCGAATTTCTCAGACAACCATCGGTCAACATTTTTTGTGAATTCTGCCAAACGGGCCTCTGGCGCCGCATGCCGGCATCATTCGCACGCCCTTGCGCGCGTGTTGTGGGGGCACGATCCGTGTCACATTAGTCCATGCGGGCCACTCTCGCGCGTCGGCCGCGCGCGCATGTCGAATTCTTTCCGCAACCTTCACCACCGACGCGAGGACGCCGTCATCGTCGCCGGCGTGATCAGCATCGGCGCTCGCACTGGCCGCGCATTCGTCGGTGCGAACATCGTCACCAGCATCGCTACTCTCATCATCGTGTCTACCGCTGTCGGCGTTACCATGGTACCGCCCCCGCTCAAGTCGCCGACTTGCAGTGAAGTGGCCGCTGGGTTGCGCCAGCGGTCAGCGCCACCGTTGCCGCGTCGGTGGCGCAAAACTAGCTGGCCGTTGCGCGCGCGTGCTAGGGTTGGCGCGGCCGCAGAGATCCACCAGCCAACGCCAAGCGTGCATGGCAATCGCCACCGCGTGTGTTTTGCAAACCAGGTTGTGGGTGGGTGGGTGGGATGTTTGCAAGAGCATGGGATGTGTCAACTCGCTTGTTACAAGTTTGCGCCACATACGCTCTCTTTTCTATCAAAATATTAGACCACACCCCCTCGGATTATCAGTTCACTTTGTGGTATCGCAATTTGCATATGACCCTGACCCATCGCCCACCCGAAATATGAACTCGTATCATCCCAGCCCAACCTGTATCGCCCCCCCCGTCATCCTCTGCAACAAATGCGATGCGCGCGCACTCGTTTATCAAAAATCAGCAGTTTACAAGAACCCGTGGCGAAACATGTGACGAAGTGCGCACGCGCGCGTCGTTGCGCCCGCACGCCGACATCCGCCCAAAACCATAGGTTCCGGAAGGGTTTCGACATCGAGTGCCCAAAACAAATATAAAAGCACATGGTTTTCGAAACGCGGATTTGATTACATCAAGTAAAAAACGTGCGCGCGCGTCCTTGCGAATTCTTATGGTCGTCGTAGGTTCTTCAATATTTTCAAACCATGCTACCAAAGCGGCTTCGCGCGCGCACATCTCGAAATCATTCGAACGCCTTTGTGCGCGTGCCGTCCCGAGAATTTTTTGCAACAGATGGGACGAAGTGCGCACGCGCCCGTCGTCGTGCGCGCATGCCGAAATCATTCGAGAACCATCGGTTTCGCAACGATTTCAAACCGAATGTCCAAAACACATGCAAAAACACATGGACTCGCAACATCAGCTCTAGAACGAGTTTGCGCGCGCGCTCTTGCGAGTTCTTATGTTCACTATTTTCTATGAATTCTGCCAAACGGGCCTCTGGCGCCGCATGCCGGCATCATTCGCACGCCCTTGCGCGCGTGTTGTGGGGGCACGATCCATGTCACATTAGTCCATGCGGGCCACTCTCGCGCGTCGGCCGCGCGCGCATGTCGAACTCTTTCTACAACCTTCACCACCGACGCGAGGACGCCGTCATCGTCG